TATCAAAATTCATGTATTCCCTTTGAAAGGGTAGTCACGGTAATTGAGCTGCCTAATCCGGGTGGATGCGAACCTGCGGCAGTGCTGCCACCAGTTGCACACAGCATCTGGTGGCTGAAGCCAGGGGCATGGAGCTGTTTCACCCGGCTCTGGCCTCATGGGATTCAGCAGCCAGGAGCTGAGCCTTTCCTCTGAGCCTCTACAATCTGCTTAGTATCAAGTTTCTCTAATCCATTTTCATGTAATTAAGGGTGTGCTTGTTCACCAAATTATTCATCTTTCAGTATTGATCTGCTCCATCAATTGACCACATATCCAACCCTACAGCCAGGAGCAGTTTCTCATCTCTCAAAACATGACATTGTTTTGCTATAATTTTCACGTTGTTTGCTGTCTGATGAATGATGTCTTGTGTAATCTGCAGCATGTCAAAAACAATGGGAAAACATTTACTGGTATTTGAATTTACATCTTCTTGTTTGGAAAGAAAATGCTTCAAACCTTCCCCAGACCTTTCAATCCCACTCAAGCTATTTGATATAAATGAATCATAAGTGGTGACACTCTTTTCCAGTCAATTTTGCAAGTAAAATTTAGTCTTGGAACTCTCAAAAGCACCTATAATCTCTCACATGAGAAATACTTAATTGTAGCCAGCTTGTTTCAGCAGATGCCCTGCTTCGTCTAGGAATTCTCTGTGAAAAACATTGATTTGGAGTCTTTATTCTTCAAACTCCACTTTGAAAGCATGGATCTAAAAGACCTTTCTGAAAGACTGAGATACTGGTTAACTAAAAAGCAAAGGGATCTTTTTCTCTGCTTAAACCAGAGATTTCCTTAATTATTAAGCTTCCTTTTTATGAAGGTTTGAATGCAAAGAACCTCATCTGAACAGGAATGTCTTATCAATTGCAGGAAAAATTCTAGCATTTCAAACTTTTCCACATTTGCAATCGGAACTATTGTTTGCCATGGACACCCCCCTCCCCAAAACTTCAAACATATGTTGTTTTGCTCAAAAGCAGTACTATATATGTAGTTATAAAAGTTACTAATTTCTGCTTGATAGCAAATCCACTTCAAATAAGTAAGTTACACTTTCATCCTCAAATCTGTCAGAAAACAGGACATGAAAATAAGACAAAATAATCCTCTACAGTGTTATTTTCTGGGTTATGTGTGTGGTTTTGTTTGTTTTCATTTAGCATATCCTTTCTTCTGTCTATGGCCGACCAAAGGGAATGAGCTTCTCTTTGTATCCAGTTTTCATCTCAAAGGCTCTAAGGGTTCTGGACACAAAACCATGCAATATGTTATTTTGTCGAATGGAACAATTAGTTACAACCTGCCTAAAATCTGCCTTTTGTTCTTAATTCACTCAGGGGTTACTGCAAATTCCTTCCAAAACGTATTTCTTGTTCACAGCTGCTGTCAAAGGCAATGTATTTTGAATGCACAAAGTCCTTCGGGCAGTACTGGCGTGCTAAGCATTTAGCAGGACATGAAAGGGATTTGGTGGCACTAGGAGGTAAATCATGCTCCTGGTAATGAAAGTGAAACGGGGAAGGCACTTTGGAGAAGTAGAGGCAGAAAGTGGCCTTGGGTGAAACTGATCTCATTGTGCAAATTAGGTTTTTATGCTTCATGCTTTTCATTGCAGGTAGCACTGGTTTAAAAGTCTTTCAGGGAAATTTGCTGAGAAATTTTGCAAGTTTAAACCTAGTGCTTCATGTCCATGTTCAGAACCAGGTGTATTGGTTGCAATGAAGAACCAACTGATTCTATCCCTTTAGCAGAAGTAGAGGAAGAGAAAAACTGCATGGGACTAGAAGGTGTGAAGAGCACTGGAGGTACTGACGCTGCTTGTACAATTAGCGTGCACCATCCCCTCTAGGCAAGCAGCTCAGAGGGAGGGAAGTGCAATAGAGAGCATGGTGTGATGGAGCTGATGCCTCCAGGGCTTCTCAGTGAGCAAGGCTGTCATAGCCAGACTTTATGCCAGCCTCTGGAGCGGAAGTGGGAACTCTGAAGTGAGCATGCCATGCCACTGAGCTGCTGCAGTGGTGCCAGGGATTCCTGCCCTGCAGGTGGAAAGGAGCCGTGTGGTTTGCAGGGATAGGTGGTGGTATTCCTGTGGCCATGTGCTACTCTCCAAACACGGTGCCTGAAACAAAGTTTTCCTTGGGTTAAAATTAGAATTCCTCTATTTTTCCCCCTATTTTAGAAAAAGAAAGCAATAATACTGTTCTGAGATAAACCCCTCAGCAATTACATCAACCCTATGAAATATAAATGTTTCCTCTCCCATTGCATACATGATGGATGAGCTTTTCACTGGAGAAACCAAGATTAGGATGTAAGGACAATCTGTGTAACTTGGGAAGTAGGCTGTGGTGTATAGCAGCAGACTGTTATAAAACATGACACTGTAGGAAGCATGACTAATGTGTGATGGAAAGCCCTTGGTAGATACAGTTCACTTAAGTACATGTCCTGTTATGAGAGTGCCTTGGTTTGTTATGTGCAGTGAGGATCTGGACAGAGAGAAGCTACTACCTGCTGGAGAAGGGTTATTTTATCCAGTGATGTGTGAGATCTTTTTGTAAAGTACAATTAATAATACAAAACCTTTGCTGCTTATGGAAGAGAATTCTTCATTTTTCAGGCTGGAAAGCAAGAATTTGTGAGTGTAGAAGTAAGGTACTATCCTTTTCCTGAGCCAAGATGCGACTGATTCAGGGAGGAGAATATATAGAGCTGAACATGAACTTCATGTCCTCATAGCAATCAGCAGCAGATGAGAAGTATGCTGCAGCAGCAGTTGTCTCTGTAATAGCTGTGGGATGCATGGAGAATGCCAATTTGCTTTATGAAGCTAACTGGGCAAAACTGCCTGCTTGGCGTGGGCTTAATGTGTTTCGTCACCATTAAGAGGCACTACTTTGAAGTGAATACAGTTCTTAACAAAAAGAAAAGGGGGGGGGGAGCAATTCCCAAATCCCCTAGTATGAGTTTTATAAACCTGGTGTATCCAGACCCCTGATTCTGAGCTGCATTAGGACCCCTCAGGAATTACACCCTGGAACTATTCAAGCTCCTGCTGATGCATAAACAGGCATGTTTATGTAAACAGAGGAGCTTGTATCTGTTTGTCCCTTTTTGGTTGGTGATGAGCTACTTTTATTTGAAAACTCAAGGGTCTTTTCTGCTTGGTGCATAAAGGGACAGAGAAAACTCAGTGGAGCTGAAATTCCTGAATCGTAATGGTCAGTAATTTCAGGCCTGGGTTACAGAAGGATGTTGGGTTGGGCTGAAGGCACTGTGACATTTTTCCAGTTGCCAGAGTCAGGCTTTCTTTTTGTTGTATTAGGGCAGGGGAAACTTAAATTTGGAGGACTCCGCGACCTGTAACTGATGATATTTCCTCCACTTTTGTTCTTTTTGTTTAATTTGTCAGTGTTCATTAGTCATTATTTGGGAAAAATTCATACCAACTTCTTTAATTTCTGTAATCTAACTGAACTCTATCAACGTTGCATTTCTTGTTTAAACAGCTGTTGAAGCAAAAGATACAGGAGTAAAATATATACTCAATGTGATTCATTTTTATTTTAACACAGTTGAGTGAGGAGAAGCTTCTGTCTCCTCTGTACTGAAAGGAAGAAGGAGTTTTGAAAACAAGGCTTTGATGTAGTTTACCTACAGGACAGCAGAACCAAAACCTGAGATTAGAAATTTCAGAAAGAAAGTCGATGTTAAACCAACATGTTCAAAACAGTTTAATACAAATACTTAAATACCTAAGAGCTTCATTAAATGTGCTTTATGTTGTAGAAGGTTACAGTCACATTGTGCAAAAATACTAAGGTATTTTGGAAAGAAAACGACGTTGCAAGCTCTCAATAGAGATGATAAAATTTGTCTATTGGCTTTTTCACAAGGAAACTTGTTTTTTGTTGAATGATTTTTTGTGTAAATGAGAAGCACCTCATGCAAAATTCAAGACACTAAACCAAATTTCTCCATTACTTGCTGAAATATTTTGCTTTTCATTTGCACTTATTTTTCTACCCAAAAAGCTTTTGTTTAATTTCTCCATGGCAAATAAACCTTTTCCTGACAAGTTCTTCATCTGACTGCCAGAAAAGTGAAACAGTGTCAAAAACGCTGGTGGGTTACTACTACTGCTCCCTCAAAGTACGAGTGATCCTTCGCAGGAGGAAAACTTTGGAATCAAAATGGAGCAGTGATGCTCATGAAATTTGTAGGGTTTTGCCTATGTGACCTTGGTAAAATCATTACTATAGCCATCCTGGATGATGTGTTTCACAGATGCTGGGGCCTGTGCTCTTTGTATATCAATTTCTCCATCTTAAATGGACCAGCAGCAATTGAGGTATCACAGGCATATCAAGCCAATGAATGTAAAATGATTTTACACTTTCAAATGGACAGGGCTGTAAACTGTTTCTCTAAGCTTTGTTTGGGACACTGAAAGAACCAAAGCCTTTAAGAATGAAGACTCTGAGCAGTCCTGCTTAGCCTAGAAATCCCTGTTATGAGGGGGTTGTTTTTTTCAGGCTACTTTTCTTTGAAACAGAGCACTTCTGAAGGAAAAGTATATCTTGTTTACCAGTGCTGAAGCGTTCCAATTACAAGCCCAGCAATAGGCATCTCCAGGTAGCAGGGGCTAAGGCATAGCTTAACCAATTGGTATTAACTGCATGTAGTAGATGAGAAAAGCTGTTATTTATGAAACAAAACTCCCTGAGTTCTCCACAGTACACAACATACAAGTTGGTGAGTTGTGCAGCAGTTTAATTTGAGCTCAGAGAGGACTGTATGACCTACACTTTCATTTCATTTTTCACAATGTTTGCTGTGCCATATGGTTAACCTAATAGGACCTATTTCTTAACACTTACGTTCCTACAGAACATTTAATATGTGTAATGTAATATATGTAACTCCTTAAACATCTCAAGTTGTTTGTAATTTAGGCTTTGGAAACATCTCCCCATGCACGCAAGGTGGAAAGATATTCTGTATCATCTATGCCTTACTGGGAATTCCTCTGTTTGGGTTTCTGTTGGCTGGTGTTGGAGATCAACTAGGGACAATCTTTGGAAAAGGAATTGCCAAAGTAGAAGACACCTTTGTTGTGAGTATGCTGCCTGCCTCATTTGTTCTGCATGCTGCTGCTTGTTGTTCTGAAGTTAACAAATGAAAGTAAAAGTATGAAAACCAGGGTTATAGCTCCTCATTGTGACCAGATGCATAGCAAAAGGTAGGAAGAACTTTGCAAAGTCTGAACATGCTATTGAACATCTCAGAGTTGGATGAAGCCAAATATTTTCTACAAGAAGTGTGGTAGGGAAGAGGAAGAAGATCCAAAATACTTTGGTTTGCCTTTATAGTACTCCTAAGCTTGGTGTAGTTCTTGCCTTTAAAGGTTTTCATGTAAGTCAATAGGAAATTGCTGACTCGGGGAGATGGAATACAGGAACTGCAGGGGTAATGTGGAAATTGCCTCTTTAATTCACAGAGGACATTTGGTGTTTGAGTCTAAAATCACAATTCTTAAAATCTCCGGTGCCATCACACTTAAGGAAAGCAGGCACCTACGTTTTGAGACTTACAGGTTGTAGGTGACTAAAGCTTTGGGCATTCACAGAAGCAGGACAGCCAGAGAGGAACAGAGCATGTTGGTGCCTCTCTGTATGGTCTCCTCACTAGGCTGTAGGATGCCCTACAGTTTAAGGTGTTTTCAGCCTCTGCTACTAAATGGCTTAACACAGCCTGGAGCTTCATGCTAATCTTTAATTATTCATGCAAAATGGCACAGCCTCAGTAGAGGCAGAGGCCTGTCAAACAGACCAGAAGCTTGTGCAGATATTGATAAATCTCAGCCATAGCCTGTCCCTAACGATCTTAAATGCCTTGAATTCTAGCAGAGGAACTTCATTTACTCAGTCTGTTTCACACAGAGTAAAGTTTATTAAGGTTGTATTTCACTAATGCAGTTATTAAAAATGTATTTACTGGAATTTTTGAAGCATAGAATAAATGGCATAATGAAACTTAATAAAATTAGTTATTCAGGTGGTTTATTACCTTCAATAAAATGTTTTAGGTTTAACTGTTACCTAATGTTCAAAAGGCATATGAAATACTATTTGTCTTTTGATATGTAGACCATGTCATACCCAGTTAATACTTAAGAAGCAGCCAGACTTTGTAGCAGTTTGCATCAGCATTGCAAGTGTTAGAAGGGTTGGTTTTCTGCAGCAAGCCCTAATCTTGCATGCAGGACACCTTTACTATATGGAAAATGTCTGCCGTAGCTTTATTTTTGAAACAAATAAACTGCGGCTGTGCTGGGTAGATTTATGCAATAGGTAAATAAAAGCTTGAAAGGTTTTTAAGAAAAGGGAGGTATTTTTAACTTTGAAACATCAATTCAAGTCCAGACATGGTGCTGGTGAATAATACCCATTTCTATTGAGATTTGTCTGAAAAAAAGGCAAGAACATTCCATAAGCACACTTTATTTTTGTCCTTTCTGGTTTTTATAACTAAATTTTATTCTTTTGCTGAGAAGTACCAAAGATTTGAGGCCGATTTGTGTCTCTTTGCCTGTTTCTCATAGGGATAATTGTTTTCCTTGTTTTCATAATGGATGTATCCCTACAACAAGAATGCCTCAAGATAAAAAACAGCATCTTGCACACCTCTTGGCAATATCTGAATGAGAACACTGATCTATATGTTGCAGTCAGGAACTCTGCCTTATTCTCTTTACTAGTTCCCCAAAAGAACTAATAGGAGATGCTAATGGGTCAGAGCAGAGAATTTCATGTTGCCATAACCCAAACTACCACTGTGATTTGGGTTACAAGACCTGGACCTTGGTCATGGTGACTGTAAAAAAAATCAGTTTCCACTGACACTAAAATACAAGAAAATATATATTGTGAACAGTCTGATTTCATTCTTGGTCTCCTTTTGTGGAAGTTTCCAGTGTTCCTTTGCTTCTTTTAAATTGAATCAACGTGCTTTGGGTGGATGGAAAACTCTTTGGGAATTATGTCACTTTGGCCAGGGCTGTCAAATGGGACTCTACAGTGGTCTGTTCTAGCTTTTGTACAGTTTAGAAGAGAAGTCATTAATAGCTTACACAACAGACAAAGGATTTGGCTTATTAAATCTCCAGGTAATCTGTAGGTGGGGACAGAACTAAAAGTTGAAAGGCAAAATCAGGATTCAAAATGATCTTGACAAGTTTAAAGAGCAGTCTGAATGTACAGGATTCGATTCAAGGAGGACAAATTCAGGGGAAGGAATAATAAAACATGCAGTTGTGTTTCAGGGAACAGTTGAAATGACCTGCTCTAGGTGGCCCTGCCTTGCCAGGGGGTTGGACTGGATGTTCTCCAGAGGTCCCTCCCAACGCTAATGATTCTGGGCTTCTGTGAAATGTTCTGAGGACCGGGGGCTCATATGCTAACAAGGGTTAATGTTGTACTGCTGTGAAATGATGATGCTTCATAGCTAGAAGTAGAAATATGAGTGTAAATAAATAAATAGGCAAAGGGAAGGGGGTTATATCTAGCTTTGAGTACAACACATAATGAAACATGGATTATTTTGCTGGAGTCAACAAGAGTAGATGGGTGATGAAAGACTGAAATAAATGCATGCAATTGGGCTATAGAACATCTGATTGAAAGAAAACACCTGTAAAAGTTTGCTGGAAAGAATAAAGTAGCAATTGCTGTGTTTGCCTTGGATAAGACCATAAATAGTAGGCTTAAAATGAAGGAGATGAGATGCAGTGCAAGCGTTAAGAAAACAGTTGAGCATGATCACATGTTGCCTGGCCACTAGTGTGTCTACAGTGGCTTAGGTGGGTTTGGTTTTGTCTTGGGGCGAGTTTGGAAAAGGTGATCTCTTCACATCCCTTCCCACTCTATTTTCTGTGATTCTGTTTAGCCAATTACTAGATTAGAGAGAACTGTGCAGTTACAAATTGCTGGGTTTATTCTGTTATTTGTGGATGCCCAAAGGTAGAGAGATTGCAGGTGCAAGCACTACTTGGAGCTCACTCAAATATCTGTCCCCTCTCAAAGCTTCCACATGATCTGCTGCTAACGTTAGTGAATGCTACACATGTAACTTGGCCAGATCACAAATGTGGCCACAATAGAGTCCAGCCCTGCTCCGCATTTCCCAGTGCGATTGATTCCTAGGATAGTCATATTTGCTTTGAAAACCCTGTCAAAATAAACCCCTACTTGATTTCCTTATTTGTTTGAGAGCTATAATGTGCTGTGCTCTTGAGCAGCCAGTGCTCATTGTGGGTGATTGATTGGTGCTGATGTACTGTAGTTCAGTTTTACTAACGATGGGTTTCTTCTCTTTTCCCCTTCCCTTTCCAGAAATGGAATGTGAGTCAGACAAAGATTCGCATAATTTCAACAATAATATTCATACTGTTTGGCTGTGTGCTGTTTGTTGCTCTTCCTGCAGTTATATTCAAGCACATAGAAGGCTGGAGCACGCTAGATGCAATTTACTTTGTGGTTATCACTTTAACTACCATTGGATTTGGTGACTATGTTGCAGGTAAGATTTCCTTGTAACTCTTTATAATATTTTGCAGTTATGTTCTGCTTTGCCATATTATTTTGGGACAGATGCATCTCCCAGTTTTACCCTTTATCATTCCTGTGTCAGGGCACCTTAGAAGATATGGCAGGATAGAGACAGGAGATGCCTGTTTCTGCATAATCTTTTCTCTTTTATTGTACTGTTAAAAGCTGGTGTACTTGATTTTTAGGTAGAGTTTTTTGTTCTTACAAGTTGAGTGCAAGGGTTAATAAAGTATTTTAGTCTGCTAATTTTTTTCCTGCTGGAGTTGCTTAAAATACGTTGCCCTGTGAAGTTATGTGACATCAGTTTGATGTGCATCTCTTAGTTTCAAAGTGCTCTCCCAGCGCTCTCTTTCTGCCATTGAGAAGTCTCTATTGCTGTTGCATCCTGCTTCTGTGTTTTCTTTCTTTTGTTTTTTATGTACATGCTTGACCATGTGTGTTTTGTAATCTAAGGTTTAGCATAACCCATAGATAATGCGTCCAGCTTCCATGGTTCTATTAACCTGGGTTGGATTGGTTGCAAATAACTTTAACAAACTGAGTTGAAAATGCTTGGGTCAGTTCTCTGCATCAACTTGTTTCATGGAAAGGTGTTTAGAGGTGTTAGAATAAGAGCTCCTCAGAATAGGATGAAGTACGTTGTGTGTGTTAATCCAAGTCATTGATGTGTTGAGGCGAGGATTAGGAATTCGGAGCATTATGCTTCGAGTGTGAGACTTGCTTTCTTCAGTCTGATTTCACGCATCTCCTGATGCAGCACCATCATCTCTCTCTCATGAGATTTCACTCTCCCATCTCTGAACACTGTGCAAGGCAGAAGTAGCTGAGAAAAACAGCAGTGCTGGGCTGCTGTTAGTGAGCTATTCTGCTGGAGGAAGTGTTCCTAGTAGACAGACATCCTCATGGTGTTGGCTCCTCCCATGTCCCACCTCAGCTGTAGCTGTCCAAGTCCAAGTGCACCAAGGTGAGGGTCTCATGCTGTGAAGCTCCTCCTAGTGATTTGGGGGCCTGCCTGAAGTTTGCCTTGATGGCAGGAATGTGGCTGGTGAAGTCCACAGAGACCTCTGAAGGGTCTGAACTGTTTGGCATATTCATTACTGACCTGGGTAAAACGAGGGGAAACAAAGTTAGTGTTGAAGTTATGCAACCTGTTTAAAAATGAAAGGTGACATGAGAAGTTGCCAAAGTCTGACGAATCACGGAACTGGGCTGTAAAATGGCAAATTAAATGTGTTTGGACTTTTACATAGGGTTTTTATTATGCTTTTGTATTTTGAATGCGTCTCACTGATTTCTTCCTTCTCCTTTCCCATTATTTTTTGTATTTTTTCGTGTTTTTCTTTTGTCAGGAATTTGTGATTCTGGTAAGATTCGCACTAGCACGGAATAAAAAATTTATGCTGTTTCCAAGTCAAGAGTCTGGGTGGTTTAGGGTTTCATTCCTGAGGGGTGCATGTATGTCAGGGAATAAAAATAATAGTGTATAAAGGTTATACTTACTGTAAAGCATTATGTGAAATGGCCCACTTCGCTCTAACTAGAACACTGAGTACATTGATCATTACTCTCATTATACATTTCCTCAGAATTTTCTATTTGTAGAGCACTTGATATCATAATTTGTTCCTGCATCATGTCTGGGTTGTTGTGGTTTTTAACTTTATTAGGAAATACTGTCTCTTTCTACAGAATATTCTGTATATTATTTATATTTTATTTATATTATTTATTTGTTTTAATCAAAGTTCCACTGTAAATGCATGATGTTGAAATGTGATTCATGTTTTCTATTTTCTGTTCGAGTAACATGCACACGATGTATATTTGTACTGTAATGTTATTGGTTTGAAGTTTCTGGTGGGGGAATGAGACCTGTACTTGCAGAGCTGATACTGAAGAGAACAGGGTTAGCTGACTGTTTATCTCCATCATAACTGGGAGGTTAACATTGCCACCGGCCTGTGTTTCCTCAGAGATGAAGTTGACAATATTATAAGTGTGTGGACTAACACAATTGTTTCATGGCAGACGACTTAGGATTTTCCAAAAGGTTTATTTGTTTTCTTGTCATTCCAGTAATAATTGTCTAGTTAAATAAAAGTTACAAAAAATGGGTATTCATTCAAAGTGCTTTGACTGTCAGCTTCCACAGTGCATCAATGTACATAAATACTAAGGTGTCTGAGAAAAACTGGTGTTGCAAGTTCCCAATAGAGCTGATGAAATCTGTTTTAAGGGCTAGGCATCCTTCTTACTCTTGAGGAAGTATGCATAATCTTTTGCACACTAACAAAGTAGTAAGTTATCTTTACAATTTTTGTGCTTCCTTGTTTTTCTCTTGGGCAAGACATAACTTGGTCTAGACACATAACTTGGGCATAGACACTAAGGTCTAGTGTGAGGAGTCCCTGCCCATGGCAGGGGGGTTGGAACTGGATAATCTTAATGTCCTTTCCAAGCCAAACCATTCTATGATTCCATGATGATTCTATAATATTTTTGTGGTAGACTCCATCTAGTACTCTTTCCTTGAAGTTTAGGAAAGCTGAATGCCGTAAACAGAGATGGAAACAAGCATGTAGAGTTAAGCCATGTAACGTTGTAGGGGAGGTTGTCATGATAGAATATGGTATTGCATCTGAAGCTGCGGCTCTAAAGTGTTGTGTTCTTGGTTTTGGTTTGTCGCAATGAGCCAGGCAGCAGACAGAATGATGCTTCAGTCTGCTTTGTTCCTAGATGGCAATGCAGCTAGAGAAAAAACTCACACTGGCATTGATTTATACCTTTTTCAGATTCTTCCTCGACAGAAAGGCATATTTCTTCAATAATTGAGTGAAAATTGCCTTCTTACACTGAGGATTGGTCAAACCTAAAGCAGAGTGGTGTGCAGTGCTAATACTCCAATTTACAATTACAGCAAGTGAACTCTCTTAGCAACAAAAATAAAATTGGCAATTCTTGTAGCATATTGATCCCCATGGGATAGTTCATGATTATGTGCCAGTTTTGGCTCAACGTTCCCTCAAAAAATCCAAAATCCCTAAATATTTGAAGACTTCCATGTATTCTGGTTATTTTTTTTTTCCTGGGAACTGTCATCCCAGAGGAAAGAACAAGTTTGCAAGCCCTATGTACAACTGTCACGGTTGTGATAACGTATTTGTTCTTTTAACCCCAGTACACTTCATCTGAAGAGGAGCTCTGAGAACTTTTAGGAGGTGAAGGGGAGAGTGCTTCTGAATAGCTGTACCAAAAGGGAGCTTCCAGAAGAACTTGGGATTCAGGAATGTAATGGTGCTCATGGCTGCAGTGCAGGTTGTCGTGTTAGAAATTCTTGTAGAGTTCCCCAGAAGTTTTCTGCAGGTTTCCTCTCATTTGCACTGGAGACCAAGTACTCTGTTCCCAGAAACTGGAGTACCAAAACATCCCTTTTTGTGCTCAAAATCTGTCTGCAGACTAAGGAAACTTCACCTGCAGTTTCCACCAGCAAGAGAAGCCTTAAGGCAAACATAAGACTGATTACTCAAGGGGCTTGCAGGGAGTGAAAAGATGAAGAGGCCTTGTAGTGTGCGTTCAAGAAAGTATAGGAACAGTATCCCAAAAAGCAAATTTAACATTTCTCTGTCTTATGAAATAGTTTGATTTTTCTCTAATATTTGGAGGTGTTGATTTTTATATTTGTAGGGGTATAAGTAATTTTTTGTGATTGGAGAAAGCTTATTCTTGTAGCTTTTTACAAATAAGGGAAGTAAACTGTACTACAGCCTGCAGTGTCTTATGAAAACCAGGACATAGTCAAATGTCCCTTTTCTTGTTTTAAAGAGAAACCACCGACTTTAATATGACAGCAGGAAATCCAGCCAATATTATCAATATTCTGTGACAGGGAAAACAGATCTTTTTTGATCAAAAGTGTCATTTTTTTGAGTATAAGGAAAGGTTTTATTGGGTACTGAAGTTAGCACTGAAGTACGTGTATGTATATATATATATGTATAACATGAAGCTATACTGTTCATACATGCAGATAAATCCTGTAACTGAAGTACAGATGAGAAGGTATAGTCAAATATTTCTAAGTGATTAAATCTAACAGGTTTGATATCTAAATTTGGTGAGCTGTCCAAAACTTGACTGAATGTAGTACAGTCCAACATATAAATAGCACATCAGAGGTCTGTTTCACAGTGCAGCGTAATGATGATAAACTGACCCTGCAATCAGTGCCATTCAGCAGCTCACAGAAGTTTTCAAGTCTCGCTTAAAGAATATATTCTAATGCTTCACCTGATGGTTGTAGCAGTCCAGCTGATCTGCTCTCAATACATGATATTGCTATGTGATATTACTTACCAGGGAGAAAGACCTCTACAGGAAGAAATTGCTATCGTGCCAAGCCAGAGGCATGTGCTGAGCATCCCATGAAAACTGTGTGCTTTCCCACAGGTTTTGTGTCCCTTTTTGGCATTTGGAAGTGCTTTTTGCCTCCTCAGGACTTCATGTCTGTAACTGGGACTGTCTGGTGTGAGCCACGTAGCCAGATTTAAGCCTAAGTCAGCATGCTGCGTCTTGCTTGATTTCTGTACAGGACAGCATGTAAGGGGTGTTTTATAGCTGTGGTTTGTATTCTGAAGCAGCTCTCCCTTTTCCACTGGGTGGCATCAAGTAACTCATATGGCCCACCTGAGTTTTCTCTCACAGACAGTGCAATGTTATCTTGTCCCAGGCACGTTGCTTTTATGGGTCTGCATGAGCCAGCCTCTCTCTGCTTTTTTTACAGTCCTCAGAGGTAATTCATTTCAGGCTTCAGGGCTGGGACTAATGATGTTTCTGGACTAAGCCCGTTGGCCAGGTTTGCCACAGTGCGGATGATGGACAGCTACTATTTTTTTTGCAATTAAAACAGTGTTTGGATTTTAGCCTATTCCCATACTCAGGATCGTTTGTACTGCTGATAAATAACAATGACATTTGATGGTTTGAAGGACCAGTTTCTGAATAACTCAGAAATTTGTGCTGGTATGGAATTAAGGTAGTCGATGCCAACAGCACTTTCTAGTCTCTGCTTATACTTTTGAAGCAACAATGCAAGCAGAACCAGACAATTTTGCACAAATAATTGCATGTTTGCCTTTTGAGTCAGCTGTAGAAAGAATGGGAAAGAGAGTGTCAACAAGAAAGAACTGTTTACTTTCAATATACTTGATTTATGTAAATAAATATATGCATTTATTTATTTATAAAAGCCATAGCCCTTACATGAGGTCCATAATCTGTCCTAGTGCACCCCCAAAATCTCCTCTAATGCAACTCATCACTAAAACAGGGCTTTTCACCTCCTTAAGGAATATGTTTAGGCCATAGAACAGCCCATGCCTTCCAAAATGTTGACAATCCCAAATAATAAGTTGTTTTGCAGATGTAAGAAGGGGGTAGCAGCAGTATTTACAGTGCCCTGTGATGAAGATGGATGGAAAACCTCTTTGATTTCTCATACATTTTAAGTGCCTTTGGATCAAATTTTGACCACAAACCATGTTGGTGATAAATTGTGGCTGCTCTTACCCTATCAGATTCTTCATAATCTCCATGGAAGATTAAGGCCATGAGAATTCTAATTCAAGAGTAAGAGCACTCCATTTGTGAGGTATTTCCTCTTTATTGTGGTTGCAAACTATTTTAGGTAGAGGTCAAACAAAGCTGGAAAAAGTTTTGTCCCTTAGCCCACAAAATTGGTTTTGACCAACAACAAAATGCAACTTCTGCCTTCTCAGCATTTTACCTCCTAAAGGGCTATGTGAAATGATGTTTTGCAAAAGAAAAATGATAGCACTGTTAAGTAAAAAGTTATGCTATGAAAAATCTGTGCAAATGTATCGTGTTGATATACTTTTTACAGTGTTACCAGTAAAATTGAGATGAATCCTCATACGCTTCAGTGCACATACATTTATCTATACGTACTCGTACCCAAATACATTCATACCCTTTTATGTGAATTGTAAATCAGTAGTTAATGAGTTCCATTTCCTTTAAATTCACTGCACTGACTTTTGTTCATGTTTTCCTGCCAGTGAAATACTATTTAATGACACGGTTTAGTGTTGAGGTGTCCCTGCCCATGGCAGGAGGGTTGGAACTAGATGATCTTAAGGTCCTTTCAAACCCTTACTATTCTATGATTCTATGATTTCCAGGTAACTGTGTTACAGCACTCCATGATGATTAAGTGTCACAGAAGACAGTAGTTACCTCAGGGCAAACACCTTTAGATACGTCCTCTCTCTTCCTGGTAGTCTATTAAATTGAGATCTCACCTGAGGAGTCCTTGAAATTCAGAATCCCAACAGCTCATAAGGCTGTTAAGCCTTTTCCTAGAGGGTTGTTGGCTGTCCCTTTCTAACTAGGAAAGCAAAGCTCCTTTGGGCATGGCTAGATAGAGCCCTCTCCTGGCCAGACGGTCCGGAAAACTCTTGAGTGGGAGCGTGTCCTAACTCCTGCCCGGGTGATTAACCTTGCTGTAAACAAATTAGGTGGAAACTCTGAAGGAAATGCTTCCTGCAGACTGGCAGGGTTAGCTTCCACTTTCCGTTTATTAACTTCACAAACAATCAATTTAAAACCAGCTGAGCAGATGTTTTACATGACGCTTCCTTGTGCGTTGTAAGAGCAGTTGGAGAGGGTGAACCTCCAAGCATGGGTTGTTATTAGCTGCTGATAGAGCAAGGGCATGGTGGTAATCAACCGTTCTTTCAGATGATGATCATCCCTAAAATCCTGTTTTACTGGATTGACATGAGCTGGATGATGTCGAGAAACAGCTTCATTTCTGATGCTTTGTTTGTCATGGGCTGTGACAAACTCAACCTTTTGGTGTTTGACTGTCTTCTGCCTTATATGTGACTGTACAGGTGTCAAAGTATTTCCATTTTTGCAGTGTGGATTCATCTCTTGGGTAATTGAATAAACTGTTGCAGCTCAATGGATTTTATTGGTGAAAAGGCTTATTGATATGACAATGACAAAGTTTCCATCTGAGGGCTTCCATACAAAGCTAACCAGCAATAAAACGCTGTGTTATTTGAATGTAATCTCTGATTAGATAACAAAAGCCAGGAAAAACATTACTGTTCATGAGAGTTAACCTTGTTACTGTAACAAAGTGATTGAAAATTTGCCCCACAGCATCCTTGGACTCTTTCAGTACAGGATGCAGAAACATAAAGCAATGTATTAGGTAGCTGTACAGACTACTTTAGTGTGCCTGAAAAGGTTTTGCTGTACTTGTACTGTGGGCAGACATGCACATCAAACTTCTACTCGTAGCAACCTAAGCTAGGAGCCTGATTTTATTTGTCATAACACAGTTGAATTGCAAGTTTAAGGCTTCTGCTTCATTGAACTGCAAGTTGTGAAATGTGAGCTATTGTGTTGTCAAGAGCTTCGGATGAACATAACTCTCTTGTGTGAAAATAAGGCATCTGTTCCCTGTAGCTGTATTGTACCTGAAAGCTCCATTACAGGGATCTCAGAATTGCTTTTTAGTTTAACACTGGAAGGAAGTGACTGGTGCTTATGGCAGTGGCATTCAAAAGAGCTGCCTTCAGCTGACATTTAATTTATCTACCTTTTCTTGAGTATGGATCAGTTCAGCTTAAATCCCTCCATCCTGCTTTCCCTCTCTGCAAAACAGAGAATGTTTGCCTACCCAATAGGAGCACTTAGTAGTGCAGGTACTAATCTTTACTAGGGCTAAAGGATTTGTGTAAGTATTAAGATGTTTCAAAGTCCTTGCAAAATCTGATTTATCAGGATAGGAACTCACTACATATTCCAGAGCAATACTTTGGTATTTGGTACAGGGTTGTTACTTGGAGCAGGTGGAAAGTGCTTTCATTCAAGTTGTCCTCAAGGACCTCTACCTTAAATAACGATGTCTCAGAACTTGAATTGGTTTGTCTGTGCTCATTTTTAATTATTAGGAATGATTAGCAATCATTATCTAAAATTTGCATACTCCAAACTCTGTTTTCAAGAGTGTATGAATTTAGATCATCATTTATTCCAATTCAGCAGAATTTCTATGAATTATTGCATGGGTAAGAAAATAGGAGAAGCATTAAGACATATAGCCGGGTTTGCTCCTATGAGTATTAATTCTGCTTTAATTTTAACCGTATTGTTTTGCAGGGGGATCGGATATTGAGTACCTAGATTTTTATAAACCAGTGGTGTGGTTCTGGATCCTTGTTGGCCTTGCCTACTTTGCAGCTGTCCTCAGCATGATCGGAGACTGGCTAAGAGTCATATCAAAAAAGACAAAGGAAGAGGTAAGAATGTGTTGAAAGGGGAAGAAATACTACTGTTAAAAAACTTTGACTGGAATTCAGGTGAGCTTACAGCTGCTGTTGCTCTTAGAGGATAGGTCAAAGCTGTTTATGTATAAAGCATAAGCTGCAGCAAGCTTTGTAGGAGTCTAATCAGACATAGTGATTTTTACATGGCTGCATGTAACTAATTTTATATTTATTATTAAGTGTATATGCACAATTGCACCTGACTTACAGGGAAAAAAAGTCTCTAAAAGGATTGTTCTGGGCTGAGAATGTAGCCCTGAATTTCTGAGCTGAAAGTCGTTCTTTTTTGTTTCTATATGGCATGCAGGTATGTAAAGGAGAAATGCTAAATCACTAAATACATACCTTTCATTATTTTATAGTGGTAAGAGAATAGATGTTTTATATCATGAAAGGTATTGGGATGAGTTATTTAAATGTGCCTGGGTGTGTTTTTCCATATCTTCAGTGGCGTGCCTAGTTACTTGTAGTCAGGTGCATTGCTTGTGGTTCAAATACATTTTTACTTGCAAATGTGTATTTAATATTCTGCCAATGCTACAATATCTTACTTTAAATTTTGTCATTTAAGAAAATGTCCCAGTTCTGAAAATGTTAGAGGATAAATAAAGTTTTCTTTGATTGTAGCTGGCACGGTTCAGTTTTTCCTGAAAGTCTGAGAAATAAATGATTTGTGGTTTTAGCAACATAGTATTTCCTTCTAATATACAAAAATACCTTGTTCAGGCTTAGCTTTGCTCCATTTCCTCAGACACCGGTGGTAAGGTTTAGCTCTTCACACTGCTTCCTAGAGCTAATCTGGTCTTTAATCTCACTTTTCTCCTACTCTTATCCACACAACGTCTTATCCAGAGATCTTACAGTCTTGACTATAGAACCGCACATGGCACGCTGAAGGTTCATTCTTTAGTGTTTCATTATCCATGTTATTATAATAATAATACATTAAGAATGTTTGAAATTTATATCTTGCCTTTATTTTATAGTGCAGCTGTTTCAATGTAGACTAACTTTAGAAAATATTTAGAAAAACATTAATTGAACAAATGCATGGATGCCTATAATGCATTGAATACATTCCTATTTTATCAAGTAAAATGTCATTTGCTGGGTTATGCAGCACAGTGCTATGCCAAACTTTATTTTCTCAGGCACCAGGAATGTGTGCCCTCTTTCATCTTTCCGTTCTTTCTCACCTTTGTAGCCTAAACAAGCATATTCATTTTGTCTGCAGAAAGGAAAACATCATTCTTCAGATATATCCAAATCATCTTGGCTGATGCAGGTATTCGTGATTTTGCTGTATACACGTCTTGTGTGCTAGGTTAGATTAAAGACAGACATAATCGGTACCTTTTGTCCAAATAATCATATTACTGATGTCCAGAAATCACCCCCAATTCTTAGACCATTGTTCAGGCATGTCTAAGAATCCATACCAGAAAGAAAATGTTTTAGCAGCTTCAAAATGCTACAGGTCTGAAAATTGAGACCAGCTTGAGAACTGAATTATGGCATAGCACAAGTTGTGTTCTAGTTAGAAAATAGGAACAATTGTTTCTGCATTCTATCCTAATGATGCTTTGTTGGGGAAAAAAAAGAAGTTCTATAAATATATTGCATTTTGTTACACGATTGGCTGTGTATGAACAAAAGTGCTGTACAAATGTTCACTTTACAGGTAGTATTTTGTGATACAAACTGACTGCTGCTTGTAGCTCATCCTTACTATCTGCCTTGGAAAAACTGAGTGAAGAAGCTGGGCGAGCTTAGTGGAAATGTAGTCATTAGGTCTCTTGTATGCCAGCAGAAGCCAGAGGAGACTCTGAATTTCTTGTATTGTCTGCTTTTTCAGTTACAGCTGAATTTATGATCTGTTCCAGCTTCTATGGATAAAGATTATGGCAGAGAAACCAAAGTTCAAAGAGTAGGAATGAGTGCAATGGAAAAATCATAGTTCTAAATGTTTTTTTTTAACTGTCTTAAGGAAACATTCTGTCAGCCTTTGGGGAAATAGCTCATTACATCTAAAAATGAAATCAGAAACAATATCATATATTGAAATCTACAGAGACGCAGGGGCTGTGATGAAATCTATAGGACTCTGCAAATGAAAATGATGTACTAAATTTCCTAGGAAATATAAGGCACTGAAAGCCTTCCTTCATGAACCTTGCTCATTGTGGATATCAACACCTGCAAGTAAAGATTTTGTGGAGGATTTGTATCATGAAAAAATGAAATAATAGCCTACCATGTTTTAGATGCAGGAGGGAACAGATCGTTCAATACCCACTGGTTGTATTGGCTTCAGTGGCTCAAGACTTGAGAGCTGGTATCAGCCAAATCTAGTGAACTGTACCAGAGTGCAGGATGAAGACAGGGGGGTTACAAGTGTTGAAAAGCCCCTCTCTCTACTTCCCTATGATAACAAAAACTGTGTATCAGTATCTCTTTTAATAGGCAGCTGTAAAAAATCTTCTTTTTGCCGTTTACTATAGTCTGAAGTAAAAAATGGTCTCTCATAGCATATTTAGGATGTATATTGTGAAAGGAAACTTCTGTATTCCAGAAAGTGGGCATGCTGATAATCAATATCACATAATATCTATAGTCCTGTTTACGTTTTTCTTAAGGTTGTTGCATTGTTCTGAAAAGCAGTTTACATAAGACTAGGAATAATGTATTTCACTGTTTCAACAAAATAAAGCATCTATTGTTTTCAGGATATTACCAAAGTTTGCCATATGCAAGTGGAACAAAAAGAAAACAATCTGATCAGACATACACTGATCCACAATAATGCTATATTTGGATATTAAAAATCCAGATAACTGGATTGACTGTCAGTTGCTCAGGTGGCTTTTGTCTCCTGAGAGTTTTGATGCCTCAAATAGGGAGGGAAGTGAAAGACAAGTGGAGTCAGAAGTGGGAGTTTTAGGAGGCTATGTCTGCTGCTGAAAGCAGTTCATACAGTAGGATAGATGAAGTGTCACAAAGTCACTGGAACATGCTGTGTGCTGTAATCCTAAGTAGGTGATCTGCCTCTGAAGTTCAATTTCAGCTGTACTAGCTTGCCTTAAACTCTCTCCTCTTCATTATTCCTTAGACTCTGATTAGTCAGAGCACTTTTAAAGTCTTTTGATTTTAGTCTTTTTGGAAGGTAAAATTTCAGCAGGATTTTTTTCCTTCTCATACTTTTCTTCAGCACACAGCAGTTTCTGTGCTTCTGTGTTTCAGTGTTTGTGTTTCGGGCACAAATGCCTGTCCAACCAAGAATCCTAATCATGTGGGCTGTAAACTTCAAATTTGCTTTGAAAATTAAATGCTTCTGTCCCTCAGCCTCACAATAGTCTCCTTAAGCTCTAGTCCAGACCCCATTCAAGTCAATGGAGGTGGGATTCATCTCCAGTGTAGATATCAACATCTGACCTACTCATCTGCATTCCCATTATAGTTAGTGGAAGGAAACAAGTGTTTCTAGCATGAATCATTTGAATTTTTAAGGCATCTACCATATGAATTGCGTCCAGGAAGAGCCTGTTCTTTTTGCTGTGTACCAAGAATCCAGGTGACTTATGTTAGACCTTGGCTGGGTTTGGACAAGTGATTTTTTCATGCTGGGTGTCTGTCTTTTGAAATGAACGATATGAATCCAGCTTTAAAGACCAAACCTAAAACTTTATGAGAAAAAGCACATTCACTTCTTGAGGAAATTCAAGAGGCATTTGTCATCTTTTATGTTTTATAAACAAATAAAAGTTCTTTATAAAATATAATTTGTATAAACAAATTGATTTTGGTTCTAAGCAATTTGTTTAAGTTTTTACAAACAAATTTGACTCATCTGAATCATCATTTAGTTTCATCTTCTTGGCATCAGTGGCAGAGGTGTCACTTATGTCTATCAAAATAGGATATGCTTGACATAACGATGCCATGGAGATTATCTCACCCTCCGTGATATTTGTTGTGTTTCCATTTTACTAGATTCAGGTTGAAGGTAATCACTCAGCATAAGGTCCCAACCTAAAAAGAGCTTGAATACATCTCTAATCCCCTAAGGAGGGACCCTAAATGTAGGCTGTATGCATGAAAAGCAAAAAGGAGTGGACTCAATTGAGAGAGTTTTACAAAGTTTTAGTGAGTTGAATTGGCAAGTAGGGAGTGTGACCAAGGAGGAGAAAGGATAAGTTTTTTCAGTGATGGTGAGCTCTTAACCTGGCTTTTGCTGTTTTAAGAAACAAAGTCTTTTTACTTAGAAAAGAAGTTGGTAAGAATAACTCTTCATCCTGATGATCAGCTTATTACAAAGGTGTGAGACAACTGCTGATACATTATGTGTTGAGATGGATTGGCCTCTGTTGAAGCAAACTATTGCTTGGGCTTTTCCTTTTCTTACAATAAATCAAAACCAACTGTTGTGGTTCTAAGAATTATCTATCCCCAAGTTCAATGGGTAGGTCAGACTGACTTGATGGATGCCTGTTCCTAGAAAGCATGAAAATATTTGTGGGAGACAGTCATGATGTGAAAGCAACTGTGTGTAAAGTCCTTTTGCAAGGCAGCAGTTGATAGGGGTGGCACAATTCTAGGAGATGCGAGCAGGGGATAATTGCATTTCTGTAGGAATACTACAGATGTTATTTAAAGTACATTACAGGAAAACAGACCCTAGATCTGTGGTCTGAACTTTGGAAAGAGTGCAAAGAGGTACAAAAATGGCACAACAGCTATCTGAAGAGAAATTCACCATGGAGGCTTTAAGCATTAAGGAGGCTTTTTTCAGTGCATCCAAGAAGTACAGAAAAGTGTATTTGAGAAAGAATAGCCACATTCAGAAAGTAAACACAGCCGTAGGTCTAACTAGTCAAATTTGACTAGTGAAAAAGCAAAACAAACAAAAAGAACCACCTCACACCTGCAAAAAAAAAACCAAATCCCCAAACAAACCCAAGAAACAAAAGATGGGA